GCCTTCCACAGTGGTTGCACCATTTTACACTCCCACCAACAGTGAATAAGGGTTCCAGATTCTTCACAACCTCGCCAGCATTTGTTGTTTGCTGTTCTGTTAAATTTTGAAGACCACATTTTTGTTTATCCATTCATCTGTGGTTTTGGTTTGTTTCTATTCATCTGTTGATGGAAATTTGGACTGTTTCCACCTTTTGGTTATAGAGGAACGTGGAAATGAACATTAATGTTGAAGCTTTAAAAAAAAATGTTGAAGCTTTTGTTCGAGTAGCTGCTTTTTCCATAAGCTCTTTGCTCTGTATTTGCCTCTTGTAAGACAGAGAGCTATCATGCCTGATAGCCCATATAATACCAAAGCAGGTGCTTTGATGCTAGCAGTTGTATGACTATGTTAAATGATAAAATCGGATCCAAAGGGTCTGATAAAAATATATCAATTCACTGGTGTGAGTAGGTGTGGTGGGCAGAGGTGAGGGTTTCCTCACTGTGCTGGGGTTGTAGGGGTTAGAGAGGAAGATGTGAGTGGGAAAGCCAGTTCGTGTAGAGACGAGGGTGTGGAAAACTTACAGTCAGGTTTCTAACTAAGAACTGACTATTACTGAACTGTTTCAGGAGCAAGGAAGATGGCCAGCAACACCTCTCTTTCCACCAATTTGTCTAGAGGGATCCCCTCCGAGTCGCCCACCTACGTGGCCCTGTCCATCGTCTCCCTGGTGATAATCGGGATTACCTTTGTCCTGGGCATCCTAGGCAACGGCCTGGTGATCTGGGTGGCCGGCTTCCGGATGACACGCACAGTCACCACCATCTCTTACTTGAACTTGGCCGTGGCCGACTTCTCTTTCACTCTCACCTTGCCCTTCTCCATGACCACTCAAGCCTTAGGAAGACAATGGCTGTTTGGCTGGTTCCCGTGCAAGTTCATCATGACCGTGGTGGACATCAACCTGTTTGGAAGCGTGTTTCTGATCGCTTTCATCGCCCTGGACCGCTGTATTTGTGTCCTGCACCCAGTGTGGGCCCAGAACCACCGCACCGTCGGGCTGGCCAGGAGACTGATCCTTGTGCCCTGGATTCTTGCTCTGCTCTTCACCTTGCCCGTCATCATCCGCGCCACTACAGCGACTATTCAAGGAAAGACAGTGTGCACTCTGGACTTCTCCCCCTGGACCAATGACATCGCGGAGAGGCTGAAGGTGGCCACCACCATGTACACACTCCGAGGTATCATCAGATTCATCATTGGCTTCAGTATGCCCATGTCCACTGTGGCCATCTGCTACGGGCTGGTGGCTGCCAAGATCCACAGACAAGGCCTGATAAAGTCCAACCGCCCCTTGCGGGTCCTCTTCTCCGTTGTGGCTGCCTTTTTTGTCTGCTGGTTCCCGTATCAGTTAGTGGCCCTCATAGCCACCGTCAGGATCAGCAACGGCTGGTGGAATTTAAGTGAGACCTTCAGACTTATGGTTAACATAACCAGTGCCCTGGCCTACTTCAACAGCTGCCTCAACCCGATACTCTATGTCTTCGTGGGCCAGGACTTCCGAGAGAAGCTGATCCGCTCCTTGCCTGCCAGTCTGGAGAGGGCCTTGAGTGAGGACGCAGGCCAGACAGAGAGCACACCTGCCAATTCCACATCACCTCCTTCGAATGTTGAGTTAAAGGCAACTTGATGAGTGGACTGGTAGACATTCTTTTTTATCTTTTTTTAAAACATTTTCTACTAGTTTATTTACAAAATTCTAATACAAATTTGAACAAATTCTTTCCATTTCCCTCAGCCCTGCACACATCAAATTGTACAACCCAATGATTAATCCCTCCTCCCCCTGCACATCCGCATCCCTCTGCTTCCAGCCTCTCCCACCCCTCCTGGATCCTTAGACTCATTCTACAATAACAGTTTTATGCAATATTTATCCTTGTGGGACTGAGTTAGTTCACTCAGCATAATGCTCTCCAGTCCCTCCCAAGTTAGGTCATAATTTACAAAGTTATAGCTCCTGTGTGCTGCATAGTATTCCATTGTGTGAATGTATCATAATTTCCCAATCCCTTCATGTGTGGTTGGACATTTGGACTGGTAGAACTCTGCCTTCTCTTTTCCTGCTCCTGTGTTACCATTTTCTCACCTGGAATCGTACTGAGTCACAAGCATTTCCCGCTTATCTTAGGGTTACCCACCCAAGAAAAAAAAAATCATGCCTCCTACTTTGAAGGGAAGAGTTGACGTGAGGTTACTATTGACATCTGCTTGGGATTTTGGACCCCTTCCTTGGGCAGCTGTTGTTAGTCACCATCGAATCAGCTCGGACTTGTTAGCTGCTGGCAAGTCGAGTACGACTCGTAGTGACCCAGGAAGAGCAGATCTGAACGCTGTCCTCCCCTGTGCCGTCCTCATCATCTCTGAAGCACTTGAGCTCTTTGCTGAAGTCACAGTGTCAGTCCATCTTGTTCAACATTTCCCCCTCTTTTGATGACCGTCCGTCTTTCCAAGCATGACTTCTCTCCCCAAGGATTAGCGTCTCCTAGCAACATGCCCACAGTATGTGAGACAAAGCTTTACCATCTTTCACTTATATATGGAATTTAGGTATCCGCTCTGGCTTAGGCACGAAAGAATGAAAAGTTACCAAGTCTGTGACACAATCACTTTTATGTTTGAGCCCATTTTTGCAATCCATTTCTTTGAGGGTCCCCCCCCTTCCCTTTGGTTACTGACCTCCAACTCTACCAAGGGTGATGTCCACCCTCAGTGATTGATCCCTCCTGACAAGTTAGTGAGATCAAGTCTCAACATCCTCCTTTCTAAAGAGCACAGGGAGACCATACACCCTAGTCTGCTTGGAACACGATATATAATACGGAATCTCCTGGTCTTTTCAATATAACCCCTTTAAAGCTCTCTGAATGTTGTGGTATAACACCCAGCACTCTCATTTAATTGACCCAAATCATTGCTGAAGGGCACTATGTGGGATTTGCCTTCACTCAGCATTTGAAAGGCCCCCTAAGTATTGTTGACAGAGCTCCGGTGGTGTAGTGGATGGGAAGTTTGCTGCCTACCCAAAGGAAGATAGTTTGAATCCACCATCTGCTCTGTGTAGGATAGATGGTCAGCTATGAGTTGGTATCAAGTCAACATCAATTCGTTTGAGGTTTTTTTGAATGTTGTTGAACTTAATCTTTGGCCTCTGTATCTCTTTTATAATTACCCATAGTATTTGCATCTCCAGCAATAATTATTTATCTTCTTCTTCTATCTCTTTGTGTTGTGGTGAAAACAGACATGACAATACATATACCAGACATTGTAATGAATTCATGACATTCATCAATTGTAACTTGTGTTATAAAATAAAATGTATATGAACGAACCAATGAAGTTGTAATGACAATATTATAAAATAAAACGTATGTAAATGAAAATGCAATGGTTTGTCAACTTTCACTCAGATAAATAAATGAAAAGAAAAAAAAATAATATATCTAAACAAATTAAAAAACCCATATACCAACTCAACCATATTTATATGTGCAATTCAGTGACATCAATGACATTCTTCTAATTGTGCCACTAGTCACACTATCCCTTTCCAGATGATTCCACCACCATTAATGTAAACTCAATGTCTTTGACAGCAGCCCTGGTGACATAATGTATCAATCTATTAACCAGAGGTCAGTGGTTTGAATTTACCAGCGGTTCCATGGGACATTCAACCATACAAGATCACAAGGGGCAGTGTTTACCTAGGGATAAAACTCAGAAACAGGAAGAGAATGAAAAGAACCCCAGAGGGTGGAAAGAACGATGATATAAAATGGGGAATTGTAACCAATGTCACAAAACAAAATATGCTTCAAACATTGAATGGAATACCAATTGGTTGAATGGAATCCCAGTCTGCTCTGTGAACTTCCACAAATCATACGAAAAGTTTAAAATAACATAAAATTAAAAGACCACATTACAAGGACAGAAAGAAATAGCTTTAGAGCACAATTTTTTTTAACGTTGTTGAGTTGGCTCCAATTCAACATTGACTCTATGTGCGTCACTTAACAGCTATGGCCTTCAAGAGTTGTTGTTTTAGAAGCAGATCACCAGGACTTACATGTGAGGTGCCCCAGAGTAAACTTGAGCCTCCACACTTGTGGCTAAAGCCAAGTGCATTCACTGTACCACCCAGAAACTTTTTTGGTTTGTCGTTGTTAGATGCCGACTAGTGGGCTTCGGTGCACAGTCGTCCCTGCAAACACTAGAAGGAAATGAAGCCCAGCCCTGCACCAGTCTCACAAAAACTGTTATGCACAGTCCACTGGTGCAACCACAGAGTCATCCATCACATTGAAGGTCTTCCTCTTTTTCCATTGACTTTCCACTTCACAAAGGGTGATGCTTTTCTCCAGAGACTGTCCCTTCCTAATAATGTGTCCAATTAAGTGAGACAAAGCCTTGCATCTTTGCTTCTGAGGAGCATTCTAGTTGCAATTCCTCCACAGAGTATCTGTTTATTCTTTTGGCATTCCACGTTATTCGGTAATAATTATTATTTCATATTGTTCAGCTGCAGTGCAATTCAAAAGCATTGATTCTTCTCCAGTCTTCTTTATTCATGGTCCAACTTTGAGATACATATAAGGTGACTGCAAATATCATGTCTTGGCCGGTGTACCTTAGTCTCCAAAGTGATATCTTTGCTCATCAGCAATTTAAAGGCGTCCTTTACAGCACGTTTGTCCAATAAAATGCACACCATTGTTACTGCTTGACGGCTTCTCCCATGAGCATTGATTGTGGATTCAAGTAAAATGACAGCTTTGATAACTTCCAGTTTTTCCCCCATTTATCATAGCATTGTTATTCCCATGGTGAGACTTTTTTTTTCATTTATGTTATAATAATCTTGGAAGTGCTGTGTTGGTGGGTTGGTGAGTGGTGCTCTGTCTTGTTCAACACTCAATTTTCTCTCTCCCTTGTCTCTGCGGATTCTGGTTATTCTTTTTCCCCTCTCAGGTTATTCTTTTATCTCTGTCTTTACCTTTCATTGTTCTCTAGGAACTTTCTGGAGGAGAAATTGTGCATTGCAGCCATCCTCAGTGGGGTAGAATAGGACAAGGAAGAGAAAGGAGAGCCGGAAAAGACAGAAGAAGAGAGAAAGTGAGGGCTGGAAGTGAAGCAAGCATTGCACTGCTTGTTCACTTCTTTATCTTGATTACTTTTGTTGGAAGGGACTTCAGATTTGTTGACTCTGGATTTTGAGACAATTGAACTTCTGTATTTCACTGAGGGCTGAGAATAAAGAAGTCAGACACTCCCGTTTCTAAAAGGAAATAGTCCATTACCCAAATGTCATTGAGACATGTGCCTTTCAACTAGCTTTGCAAGAAGTCCTAGTTTCCTGTTTCATTGCCCTTCTCCTGTCTTTTGTTTACCTTCTGCTGAGATCATTCAAGCCAGAGCCACTCTCCCTAGGAGATCAAGACTTGAACTTGAACAGAGAGGAACCACTGGCTGGTGACAATTCCAGGTAAGAAATGTGTCCCTGGATTCTAGGTGTCTTCACAAGAAACACTTCAGGGGACTGTTAGAGACAGAAGACTCTTTCCAGTGAGCTGGAGAGCGGAGATGAAGAGGTAAGGAGGTAACAGAGCAACGACACACTTCTGTTTTGTGATTCTTTGCTGCAGAAGAGAGTCAAAGAAGTGGTTAAAAATGAGAGGATACACAGTCCAAAGATAAGAGGCTTCCAGATTGATTTATGCTGAGAAACAGGAGTAGAGCATTGAAAGGGTTGGTAGCCTGGTGGCCCAAGACACTATCAAAGTTAGGGTGAGATCGTTTAATGTCATCAAGCAAAAGGCTTGGTGGTTGAATAGAAAACCAATTTGCTTTATAAGCTTTCACTCAAATCACAATACAAAAAGAAAATAATTTTGCTAGTTGTGTTGTTGTTATGTGCCGTCGAGTCGCTTGCGACTCATAGCGACCCTATGTACAACAGCCCTAAACTCTGCTTTGTCCTGTGCCAATCACACTGTCTCTGACACTCCCATCCCAATTATCCCAGTCACTGAATCAATCCACCTCATAGAGGGCTTTCCTCTCCTGCGCTGTCCCTCCACCCTCCCAAGCATGATGTCCCTCTCCAAGGACCTGTCTCTCCTCACAACATGTCCAAAGTATGTTAGACGGAGCCTCAGAATCCTTGCCTCCAAGGAGCCACCCGGTTTAACCCTTTCCAGGATAAATCTGTTTGTTTTCGTAGCAGTCCATGGTATTCTCAATACTCTTCTCCAGCACCACAGCTCAAAGGCATCAATTCTCCTTCTATCCTCCTTGGTCACTGTCCAACTCTCTGATGCATAACAAGTGATTGCGAAGACCATGGCCTGTATCAGACGCACCTTAGTCTCCAGAGAGACACCATTACTCTTCACGGAAAAACTGTAAAGTTAGCACAGAGAGTGTCAATATTTCTTTTGCCCTGCTTCCTTGATTATCTTTCCACATTATCATGGGAGGGAAAAATATCAGGAAGGCAGAGATCAAAAGGGAAACCTGTAGTGATGTCTGAAGTTTTATCCAAATGGGGTTCTGTGGGGAGGGGTGTCTGTCAGGAGTGGCATGGGGAAATGAGACTTGCACAGGAAGACCCCCAAACTACAG